CTTTTGATAAAATCCAGCACCGCTTTTTGATAAAAACCCTTGAACATCTAGGCATACGGGGAACATACCTCAAAATAGTAAAAGCCATCTACGAGAAACCCACAGCCAGCATACTCCTAAATGGACAAAATTGGAACCATTTCCCCTGAAAACTGGAAAAAGACAAGGTTGCCCACTCTCACCCCTCCTGTTCAATATTGTATTGGAAGTCCTGACTAGAGCAATCAGAAAAGAGAAGGCAATCAGGGGTATCCAAATAGGAAAAGAGGAAGTCAAGTTATCTCTCTTTGCAGATGATATGATTGTGTACCTTGAAAACCCAAGAGAATCTGTCAAAAACCTCCTTACACTGATAAAGGCCTTTGGCAAAGTCTCAGGATATAAAATAAATATGCAAAAGACAGTCGCATTTCTTTTCACCAATAATAAACAAACAGAAACCCAAATAAAAAGCACAATTCCATTCACAATAGCCACAAAAAAATGAAATACCTTGGCATCTTCCTAACCAGAAACATGAAAGAACTTTATAATGAAAACTATAAAACTCTGCTCAAAGAAATCAAAGATGACACAAACAAGTGGAAAAATATTCCATGCTCATGGGTTGGAAGAATCAATATTGTGAAGCTGTCCATCTTACCTAAGGCAATCTACAGATTCAATGCAATACCCATCAAATTACCAGGAACATTCTTCTCAGACCTAGAAAAAACAACACAGGAATTCATATGGAAACACAAACAACCAAGAATAGCCAGAACAATCCTCAGCAAAAAAAACAAAGCAGGTGGTATCACATTATCAGACTTCAAACTTTACTATAAAGCTACAATCATCAAAACAGCTTGGTACTGGTATAGGAACAGGCATATAGATCAATGGAATAGAATTAAGATTCCAGATGCGAAACCTCAATTTCTCAACCAACTTATGTTCGACAAAGCCTCCACCACCTACCACTGGGAAGAGGAGAACCTATTCAGTAAATGGTGCTGGGAAAACTGGATGACCACGTGCAGAAGATTGAAACAGGACCCTTCTCCATCCCTATACACAAAAATTAACTCCAAATGGATCAGAGACCTAAATGTAAAACTTCAAACCATAAGAACCTTATAAAAGGAAGGATATACCCTCATGGATATTGGAACTGGCATCCAATTTCTGAACAAAACCCGAAACCCACAGGCCATGAGATAGGATAGACAAATGGGACCTCATTCAACTGACAAGCTTCTGCAAAGCCAAAGAAACCATCAAGAGAGCAGGGAGACAGCCTACAGACTGAGAAAAAGTATTTGCCAACTCCAGGTCTGACAAAGGCTTAACATCTTGGATCTACAAAGTACTCAACATGCTGAAAAGAAAAAAAACAAACAATCCCATTATAAAATGGGCAAAAGATATGAACAGACACTTCTCAAAGGAAGACATCCAAGCGGCCAACAGACACATGACGAAATGTTCAACCTCACTAATCATCAGGGAGATGCAAATCAAAACCACACTGAGATACCACCATATTCCAGTCAGAATGGCAATTATCAATAACTCAAAAAATAAGAGTTGCTGGAGAGGATGTCGTGAAAAGGGAATACTTCTACATTGTTGGTGGGAGTGCAAACTGGTGCAACCTCTGTTGAAAGCAGTGTGGCGATTCCTAAAAGTTCTAAATATCAACCTTCCATATGACCCTGCAATCCCCCTACTGGGAATATGCCCTGAAGAACTCAAAATACTCTATAAAAAAGATACCTGCACACGAATGTTTATCACAGCATTGTTCACAATAGCAAGAACCCTGAACCAACCATGCTGTCCATCAAAAGAGGACTGAATTTAAAAAATGTGGTACATATACACGATGGAATACTATGCAGCCATAAAAAAGAACAAAATCAAGAATTTTGCAGCAACCTGGATAGTACTAGAGTCTATAATACTGAGGGACCTCTCACAGAAGCAAAGATCTGAGTATCACATGTTCTCACTCATGTAGTAGACCTTGATCATCCAATGTAATACCATAAGAAAATGACTGACAGTTGTGGGAAACTATAGGGGGGAGAAGGGAGATGGGATTAATGGTAGTAAACATCTGTCAGGGGACAGGGAGACACCTCTTATCAACAAGGGTGCCTGAACAAAGCATATTTGTATACCTAACTCTTAACTATACCCCACAATATCATAATAAAAAATATTGAGTATAAAGAAAAAGAAAATATGTAAATAGTTACTGAAGCTCTATTCATAAACACCAAAATCTGTAAATCCCTGAAATGTTCACCAGCTGGTGAATATATAAATTATGGTATATCCATACAATAAAATGTCATTTAAAATATATATATATTTAGTATGAATAAGAGCTCTTTGCAAGAATATCCATGCTTCTTTCTATGTTAGGTGACTTTCATCTCTGAACATCAAAACCTGTTCTAAGAACATCACTATATGGTCACACGAAGTTAAATGTTCTTACCAATACCAATTGTAAAACTACTCACTCACCTTTCAAACGTGTTTTCTTGCAAAATTGTCTGTTCCTAAGTAAGAAAGAAAGTATAAAGCTTTTTTTTTTCTTTCATCCTGGTTTTTTTGCCAGTCCATCTCAGACTTTGTTCAAATACTAGCTCTACAAAGCCTTGCAGCACATTGGCCTTTAGGAAATAAGCTTAAAAGTTTCATCTGGGTTTTGACATTCCAATCCTAAAATGGAAACTTTTTTTTTTAAGTGTCCAATCTCTTTTATTACAGAGTGCTTATGGTAAAGGTTCCAGACATCCACTGGTCCCTCCACTCCCAAGTGGCAGGGGGGCAGTCAGTCTCTCCATAGGTTTTTGAGCTGCTCCTCCAGGTCTGCATCAGCATCAGTCAGGGCTGAGGCTGCGGCTTCTGCTTTTTTCCCACCAGCAGCTACACTGAGTGAGCCTCCAGTAGAGGGGACATTGGACAGTTCTTCTGTCAGGCTCAGTCTTTTGGGAGCCAACCATGGAGGCCCACTGAGCGTTAGGGATCAGGAAGGGCCGTTAACCCCGAGACCACTAGGATGCGTTTTGGAGCTATTTGACCCCATTTCCTCCCCCTTTCTACTCAGCACTAACCAGATTAAGCTCCTGTGAGCTCAAAACATAAAAACTCAGACCGGGATGAACACAAGCTAACTTTACAAGCTCATTGCTCCCATTCTTCTGTAAACTGCAGTTTTGGCTTTCATACAACTTATAATTCAAACTCATGTCACATCTAAGAGCCTTAGTATTGGTCACAGGCTTCTGGGTCATGATCTTAGGATTTATTGAAGGTGTAAATTGTAGAATATTGTTTTAGAAGACAGCCATTTTGTTGAAAGAATGCGGCTGGGTTAGTTGCAGGTAGCCCACTGTGAACTTTGGACTGGGCCACATTCCAAACCTTCTGATATGGGCCACTTTTGTTTGTAAAGTAAATACTTAAACTTCTATAGAATTGTTTAACTTGGCATAAATCAATCAGTTTAGGATGAAAAAGGTTTATAGAATATGTCAGTCACAGATTAGGTTATCCTTTGTTATGGGATTTTAAGATTATCACATGAAAAGGGTTTAAAGGCAATCATTGATTAAGTTTACATGGATTAAGGTTTCTGGTGGGTGGGGGACGCCCCTCCCACATCTGACTTTGTGTATAAAAGATCCATTGTAATTCCCAATAACACACATCGCTTCTGCACTAGACCAGAGTCCAGTCTCTTTCTTCCTCTCCTTCTTTTCCCCCCCAATTGCCAATGCCGTCTCCACCTTTGGGGTACCCTGAATCTGGCTGGAGCTGGTCTCCAGCATCAGTCCCAGCTTGTCCAAGACCTGGGATACAACAGCATCACTCTCCTCTTCATCTTCCTCATCACCCATGGCATCATCAATGGCATCATTCATCATCTCCTCCTTCATGTCCATGATCTCTGCCTGCCACTCAAATTCCATCATGATCTCCTGGATCTGGGGCAATTTTAGCTGTCTGTTCATTGTGCCCATGGCCTTAGTGACACCCTTCATGACTTGAGTCATTGAGTTGTTGGACTTGAGTGTCTGAATCTTGAGGGACACAGCCTGGATATTGGCCCGCATCAAAACAAACTTGCGTACATAGCACCGAGTACGCACTAGGTCTTTTGCCATGATGCGCACAGCATCCAGCTGGCCCTGCTTGGGCTATGAGACTAAGCTTATCAATTATACCTAAGATGTCTGGCCTCTGAAAATGTGAATTATGAAATGAAAATGCTATATAAATCTAAAGATTTATAGTTCAAATAAATTTTCAACAGCATGGTCATAAATGTGTTAAGATTTCCCACCAACCTTTCGAAGTCATCACCTTGGCTTGGCTCATTGTGAAAGAGGAGAAAACAGGACTTGAGCTGGTTCTTCATTTTCCCTCTATCTCTCTTCCATTCACCTCTCCTGTCTTTCCTACCTCCTATGATCTGAATGTTTGTGTCCCCCAAAATTTTATATGCTGAAAGTTAATCAACAACATGACTATATTAGAAGATGAGGGCTTTTAAAAGGTGATGCAATCATGAGGTTGCAACCTTTATAAATGGGAGTCATGCCCTTATAAAAGGAACCCTAGATAGCTCTCTCACCCTCTTTCTGCCTTGTGTATAATGAGAAGTCAGCAGACTGCAGCCTGGAAGAAGGCTTTCAGCAAGTACCAAATCTACTAGCACTTTGACCTTGGAATCCCCAGTCTTCCAACTGTGAAAAAAGAGTTTCTCAGTTTATTATGTTTTCATAACAGCCACAATGGACTAAGACATTACCATTTCTACTTTTAAAAGAAGTATGTAGAGTCAGAATAAGATTTGAATTCACATATGCTCATTTATGCTTCTGAAAGGTATAACTTGTCTTTGATGAATGATTCTGTGAATTCTTTGATAAATGTAATGTGCAATTGGGTACAAAATACTTAAGGAATGACTAAGTTCTACAAGGTTCATCCTTTTTGCTTCAGATGAGGCATTCAGGGGCAGTGCAGCAGGATGGTTAGCTGTTCCAGGAGGGTGCACTCTGGAACCAACCCACCACTTTAATACACTGTAGCTCAGTGAGTCATTATATTTTTATTTCTTTGTACTTGATATTAATCTCTTTATCTGCAAAGTGGAAGCAATTCTAGTATTTATGTCATAGTATTGTTGTGAAGATTAAATGAAATAAACCCTATAGAGTCCTGTGCCTATACAATGTCCAGATAAGTGCTTAATAAATACCATTCACATTATTTTTCATTCCCAATGGGACTTAATAAAAAATGCATTGAATATGGAGTTAGCAGTTTGGGGCTCACATTTTTGGTCCATATTTTGTCGCAAAGTAAATTTGTGTCATTTAACTACACAAAGCCTCATATTTTTCTTCTACAACTTAGAGACAATTAGTCACAATAAAATAAATTATCTGAAGGAACCTATCTCAGTCCTTAGTCACATCAGAGATCTGCATTTTGTATTAAATAAATACAAATTCAACTAGAATGAGGAACATAATCAGTGTTGGTTCTATTAACAAATATTTTTATTACTTAATATACATTTTAAAGCTGTATTCAAGCATTACCTTTGAGTGTTATTATTAGGCATGTTTGAAAAAGGAGAGAATCTTAGTACGCTGACATTAAGCACTGTGAGACAAGCTTATCAATTATACCTAAGATGTCTGGCCTCTGAAAATGTGAATTATAAAATGAAAATGCTATATAAATCTAAAGATTTATAGTTCAAATAAATTTTCTTTGTCACATAGCAAGGTCAAAAGATGGCTTCTAAATGAAGGAAAAAATATAATGTGAATATTTCAGAGGCTTTACTATTGCTAGAATGTAATTGTTCTTTTGGAATCATTGTAAGCGTGAGATTGGAATTTTGTTTTATATCATCTAGACTGTCTTCCCCTCTCCTATACTCTGACCATATGTATCAGTATTCAGAAAAAAAGCAAGAGCTTCTTTTTCTTGCAGGAGAGATTGCCATTAGAGAGAGTGTCAAGAAGAATGAGTCACTGTTAGGACTGATTCCAGATACTCTGATCCCAAGCTGCATTTGCTAATACAGTCATCTGTATTCTGGTGTCCATGGAACACAGTGGAAGGCAAATTTGTCCTTGTCATTACATGGCCAAAGGCCTTTCTTAAAAGATACCAGAAATTAATTAGACAACAAATTCATCTTTAAAATGAAAGTACAAGCTACCTGGGCACAGGGATCTGAAATAAGACAATTTATTTTATTAGAAAACTCATAGTGTTCAGCCCAAGTAGCATACGTGTATACTTGTGTGGACTAGACAACAATATTTCATTATTATTCCCAAGCCTACAGTGAGTTCAGAAATAATTAAAATGAATACTTTATCGATAATGACTGTCATATAATTTTTACTTTACAACATCAGTAATCTTAAAAGGCTTGGAAAAGCAGTTAAGTAAAATGAAAATTGAGCCAGATAAACTCTGGAAGATCTTAAAAAGTAAACATAATAGTTGCTGGGTAAAATGTATTGAAAATTAAATTAGGAAAGGAATTGTGTCTTACTTACATAATTTCAATCATCACAATGTAAATACATAGTATGCAGTTAAAAATGATGTGTGATTGGGGCATTTAAAATTTCTATGTGCTTTTGTTATTTTATAGCAAGAAGAAATTTTTTAAAGAATGCAGAACATGAAAATATTTCTTTTTTGCTTAAAAAGTATTCCTTATTCCTGACTGTTAAACACTATGACTTTTCTTTAAAAGTTTTGTTCAAACGGATTTAATAAAAGTAAGAATGTAATAACTAACAGGTTCCCCACCACTTTGCCAAGGGAGTAAATGGCACTTCTGGTTGTGCATCGTTAGTGGAACTTGAGCAACTTAAGAGAAGACACAACTGACATTTGCTTTCATTGGGCTAATAACATAAATTTTGATGTAACATATACTGGAGAAAAAACTAGACTTTACTTATGACAAGTAACTTTACACTCTTCAATTCATGATATGCAGGGAAAAAGGAACAATAGCAACTGAATGGCATTTGCTTCGTAGGCACCATTTCCTTACACAGGTCATAAAAAAGTGCTGATTATGTCATCTCAACATTAATAAGTGCTAAATATAAACATCATAATTAGAAGAATAGGAATATGCAATATGTGACATGGCAAAAGTGTTTGAACAGGTGACGATTGAATCACGTAATAAATTCTATGGTGGGGGATGATCAGGCCCTCATGAAAATTTGTGCCACCTTTTATGCATCCCACCTCATCATCAAGACTCTCAGGCTTTCAGTTGATTAAGAACAAAAACCGGCCGTGCTGGGTGGCTCAGCCTGTAATCCCGCGCTTTGGGAGGCCAAGGTGAGTGAATTGCCTGAGTCTGTGGGTTCAAGACCCACCTGAGCAACTTGGCGAGACCTCATCTCTACAATAAATCAAAACATTAGCCGGGTGTGGTAGCGTGTGCCTGTAGTTCCAGCTACTTGGAAGGCTGAGGTGGAAGGATTGCCATAGCCCAGCAAG